TACTTTTCTGACGCTAGAGTGGTATTCTTCTAAGAGGCTACAAAAGAGTGTAAATATAGATTTAAGCAAGTGGTGAATTAGCACCAGTATGACATTAGGCTCTATTCAATAGGGGCGATGGATTCAATCTCTATTTCGACTTGGAATCCATCTTCTATATAGTATTTCCGTTATTTTGTAGAGCTTAAACATATTATACAATTTTTCGTTCTCTGATAAATTGGAGGAATTAGCAACGGCATCGAATTCTTCAGCGCTTGGAATATCAATAAATGTTAGCACAAGATTCTTCTTTACTCCACCAATGACCCGCGATATCGATGAAATGCTGGACCAGTCGTATTGGTTGTCAGACATTATTAGAATCGCATGTTCAGCATGGCTAAAGGGAGGACCCCTTTTATAAAGCAACATGTTGCAACCAAACTTTATTCCAGATCTCACACACCATCCCAACGATCTGTAATGGTGGTAGACAACGTATTCAAGTATAAAGGAATTGTTAGGCGAGATATCATGTGCGCAGCACTCAGAAAAGAGTTGCGGGAGCGGCAAATTCACATTAATGACATTGAGGGCGAAGCGTAAGAAAAATACCTCAGTTTTCTGCAATTGCAAGTATTCGAGATCAATGAGGGCACCCTCATTGATGAGTTTCTGATCCTCGATCCTGAAATCCTCTAACTGCGTTAACTCCTGTTTGTAGTTAGGGTTTTCAAGTCTCTGCGCATTCAAAGTTCGACGCAACTCTTCTAGTGCATGCAACTCGGTGTCCGAAATAATATTTTGACGCTGCTTTAGCTCCAAATCCTGTAATTTACTCCGTTCTGTCTTGAACTTCTTTCTCTCTTCTCTTCTCAACCTAGTAATTTCTTCACTCGTGATATCCAAATCTTCGTCAAGATTCAATCTCCTACTAGTCCTAGTCTTCCAAGACGGGTCTGACCTAGACAATGTTCCTTTTCCAAAAAAACCCTGTTTCCATAAGCTTCGCATATCCTCCTCATCGGTTACTTTAAACACACCTTCATCATAATCCACCTGGAACTTTCTGACATGTGATTGAGGTACAGATCTGGTCTGTATATTTATATACTGGAATGCAAAGTATAACCATGATACTGGGTTATGGGGGTATATCTGGGGTAGCCTACCATACTTATCTGTGGACAATATTATGGGCAAAGCATTGATATATATTTGATTATTATTAACTCTGTTTCGTTTTCCCATTTCTATTCTTGTTAGTAATCATTTTTCATATTGTTTTGGTATTAACCTTGAAAGAAAGCATTATATGTATCAGATACCGTTGTAGTCTATTGAGAAATCATGTGCTCACATCGATCCGAAGAACTTAAAGACACTGTAATCAGGTTATCATCATAAAATAATAATGTTCAAATTTTAAACCAGTCAAAACATACTATTTCGATTTCTTCAAATAAATGGGCAGTAGCCAATCTATTCCATCATTGATTGAAGTTTATAAGAAATTGGTTCTAGAAAAATGTTCAAAGTGTAACGGAAAATAAAATTTTCTGAATTTTAAACTAAAATTATATAACGTCCGGGTAATAATAATATATTACTTAGGGCTATTTTGAAGCCTTTTTGCAAGTAAGTTAATAATTGCATTCTATAAGTACGTCATATATAAAAGAACTTTTCTAAGTCAGTATGTAGTAGCTTAAAGGAGAAGGCTTCAAATTCAAAAAAAATGGCTATTATAATAGCGAATATT